GTTATTCCACTGTACCCTGTAAATTCACGCCGTATCCCACCCTTCAAACCGAAACACAGCCATGCAAACACAACTGCTTCACGGTAGAAACACGAATGGGACAGAGGTATCCAAGCAATCGACTTTTGTACAAAGTCTCTCTCTGTTTACAAGTACTACAAGTATACACGCGTTTTACAGTCATAGTTTTCTATTAATGTCAACTCGTTACATAAAACTGTGGTTTATGTTTTAAATAATCCCTGACACTATAAAAACTTTTAACCACTAATGTAAAGTTAAGATTATGGTCTTATGGCGGCTTCTGATATATTTATTTCTGCCACCGCGTACCGCTTGTTTGTTGTTGTTTTTTTATTCTAAATTCTTCTCTATACATTTTTTTTATTATACGACCTAGAATGGCAAACAAGTTGACGGCCCACCTGATGGAAAGTGGTAACCGTCGCCTATAGACATGAGCAGTACCATGGACATAACAAAGTATACTGTTTCGCCCATGATACCCCCCCATGCATTGCCATTCCTGAGGACTCAGGTGTTATTTCTCTGTACCCAGTAAATTCACGCCATATCCCACCCTTTAAACCGAAACACAGTCATGCAAACACAACTGCTTCACGGTTGAAACACGAATGGGACAGAGGTATCCAAGCAATCGACTTTTGTACAAAGTCTCCCTCTGTTTACAAGTACTACAAGTATACACGCGTTTTACAGTCATAGTTTTCTATTAATGTCAACTCGTTACATAAAACTGTGGTTTATGTTTTAAATAATCCCTGACACTATAAAAACTTTTAACCACTAATGTAAAGTTAAGATTATGGGTCTTATGGCGGCCTCTGATATATTTATTTCTGCCACCGCGTACCGCTTGTTTGTTGTTGTTTTTTTATTCTAAATTCTTCTCTATACATAACTTTCCGATACTACAGCGAATCATAAAAGAATATAACGATTTAAAAAAGCTTGTATGTGATAACAAGTAAAGTTCTCTCTCTCTTTCTGCTTACAATCGACATCAAAAAAAAAGAAAATTCCGAATTCAGCTGTATTTATTTTACGTTTATTACGACTCATAATTTTGTCGGTTGCAAGTCGATTTAGAATTTTTTTTTATTTTACATCATAAAATATACTTACAGATTGGTTAAATTAAATGAAAAATTTATAAAAAAATATTAAATCATTTAGTTTTTATATGAAAATAAACTGTTTTTCCCTATAATAAGGAGGTTCTCAATTTTTCTTTAGGTTTGTTACCTCATAACTGCGTAATTTATAAACCAATTTGAAAAATTCTTTTTTTTTTATTTGAAAGTATATACTTACAGATTGGACCTGTAGAAATTTTATCGAAATAGATTTAGTAGTTTTTGAATAAAAAATAACTAGTTTAGTCACAGTCGATATCAATTTTTTTTTGTTATACAATTTAATTATTTGTAATCGGTTCAAAAACATAAAAATAAATATTTACAAATTTTTATATTTATAACATTAGTAGGATAAGATTAATAAATTAAATTAAAGACTCTTTACAGTTAATTCGGTTTTAAATATAGTTAAATGTGTCGTATCCAGCGTCTGTAGATCTCGGCGCGGTGATGAGCCCGTGTCTGCGGGTCAAGGATAGCCGCTCACATGCGATTGGATTACCTATTAAAAGCAACTACGTTACGACTCTTACATTCGACTGGGGACGTTCGCTTATGAACACCGATTATGTTTAATTTTAACTGCGAACAGAACGAGGCCGTGGAGTTAGGCTTATTTTAGCTAGCTCTAACTAATAGGTACGTGCCTATTGTTATATATATACATATGTATGATATATAACAATATATGTATATATACTAGCTGACACGGCAAACGTTGTTTTACCATATACATTATTTCGAGAACTATATATGAAAATTTATCGTACTACAATTATTATATTCGGTTCTTAACTTGTAACTCTATTGCGGCATATAAAAATCGCGATTAAAAAACAGGGGTTGATCGCAAAAGCGTAAAAATTTTAATTTGTATGTATTTTTCAATGCCAAGTCATCATAAAATAAAAATAGATGTTGGCGAATTCTCAGATCTACCCGATATGTACACAAAATTTCATAAAAATCGGTAAGGCCGTTTCGGAGGAGTTTGGTAACAAACACCGCGACACGAGAATTTTTTATATATATATATATATATATATATATATATATATATATATATATATATATTCGTTTCAGAAATAGGAAAATAAATTAAATTGATCATTTGTATATCATTACCATTATATCAGTCCTTAACTGTTGACTGTTGAACATAAGTCTTCTCGAGGGGGGGGGGGAGGGAGTAGTTGTCATGCTTGTCATGCTTGCAAACGGGTTGGCAACCGCAGTTAGGCTTTGACGATGTTTCAGGAGGGACGCTACTTTACATTCCTCTAACATTGGGGGAAGAGATTGTTGGTAATGCAGACGGCGAGTCACATTGCTAGCAATATACCCTGTTAGATCAAACCTCCACGTACTCCATCCTAGGAATCATCGTGCTAAATTCCAAGTTTTTTTTTTTTTTTTATACAACTTAGAATGGCAAACAAGCTGACGGCCCACCTGATGGAAAATGGTAACCGTCGCCTATAGACATGAGCAGTATGATGGACATAACAGAGTATACTGTTTCGCCCATGATACCCCCCATGCGTTGCCATTCCTGAGGACTCAGGTGTTATTCCTCTGTACCCAGTAAATTCACGCCATATCCCACCCTTCAAACCGAAACACAGTCATGCAAACACAACTGCTTCACGGTTGAAACACGAATGGGACAGAGGTACCCAAGCAATCGACTTTTGTACAAAGTCTCCCTCTGGTATTAGTGTATTCATCACGATGGGCTAACTGACCTGTCTTTTCACTCTCACCAATCTTCCCTCACTAGTGCCCCGCCAGCGTATACCGTTAGCGCAGGCGAGGTGACTACTTCATTATCATTAAAAAATCCCGCTACCATTAGGTTCCTTTAATCACCTCTTACGATATCCACAGGATAGGAAGGGGTGGCCTATTCTATGCCGGGACCACACGGACATATTTCTTAATTTTTTTTACTTATTATTATTTTATTTATTGCAATTTAGAATGGCAAACAAGCTGACGGCCCACCTGATTGAAAGTAGTAACCGTCGCTTATAGACATGAGCAGTACCATGGACATAACAGAGTATACTGTTTCGCCCATTATATCCCCCATGCGTTACCATTCCTGAGGACTCGGGTGTTATTCCTCTGTACTCTGTAAATTCATTGTCATATTCCACCCTTCAAACCAAAACACAGCTATGCAAACACCTCACGGTAATAACACAAATGGGACAGAGGTGCCCAAGCAAACAACTTTAAAAAATGTCACCCGTATTAATATGTATGTTAATAGTTAATTTTGATTTTCATAAGTTTATATTTCATTTAAAAATCTTACCATATATATGTATGTAGCGACATATCCACGAAATAGTATCAAAGTGTTCTCAGTCCGTCGTATTCTTGTCTTATGCTATATACTCTGGTCACGGGATGAAGTCGCGGGTAAAAGCTAGTAGTGTACTTTTGTATTTTACTTAATTTACTATATACTTATTTCTCTGTATAAATTCATTTTCATTAAAAATTTAATTTTTATTCATAAAAATGAAATTAATAAAAATAATATTAATGAAAAATATACTTGTATTATTATAATTTGTAAATTATCAATTAAAAATATGATGAAAACTGACAGTCATATTTTCTTTCAAACTACGTACAATGTTTGTGTGTTTGTTTGTAGTAACAAATTGAATTAAATTTTTATCAAACAATACGAATACGCGCGTTGATGTCTTTTGTATTAGACCATTATGCCTAATACTTTTGTATTAGGCATCTATTTTATTTGTTTGCCATCATTTTTATTTGTTAAAATAATTATATTTTAATTCAGGATTGAGTGATATAAAAGTATATAGTAAACACCTATTTTAAAGTTTTTTTTTTATTTATTAGGTACTATTTTTTATTTTTATTTATTACTAGATGTAAAAAGGAAATTAAGTTTTCATTTCAGTTCAGTTCCAGTCAGAAGGCTTTTATCGATTATGAATCGATTTAAATAGTTGTAACTAAGAGGCATTACTAGTATGGTTTTATATTTATTTGGTAAAATTGAAGTCTGCTCTCGGTAAAAATAAGAAGAAGAATTCCCGGACTTAAATGCCCCGTTCTTCATGACAGCGGGGTATTATAACCTAAAATAATAACAATAAATTTCATGAATACACTTGCCATGTGTATCCAGGGAAGGGATATTGGTAATGCGAATTACTAGATCCATTGCTAGCAATATATTCTGTCAAATCTCCATGCAGTTCCCCTGGAAACTATCGTGCTGAATTTTAGGTGTAGTCATCATGATGGGCTAACTGACCTGCCTTTTCATCCTCACCTATCATCCCTCACTGGTGCCCCGCCAGTGTATATCAATAGTGTAGACGGGGTTACAATTCCATTATTATCCATTAAAAAGTCCTTTACGTCCACGCTATTCTGTCATAATGAATTCTCCATGATGGCTTAACTGACTTCAAATCATTCTCACTTATCATCTTTTACTATATACATATGTAATAGAAAGAAGAGAAAGTAGGGATATATATACATATATACATATATACTTATATATATATACTACACACACACACATATATATATACTACATTTCCATATGCATTTAAAAAGGACAGAATTGTCATCGTGCCTCCCATCAAACTATTTATAACTGCTCCTCTCCATACAAAGGTTGCCTGGAAGAGATCGCTCTTAGCCATAAGGGCGCCCATTGTTTCATTTCTTGTGATTGTTTATATTTATAATAAGTTTACTATTGTAATCTTTTGGAGGAAACAATAAATAGTATTTATCTATCTATCTATTTATTTGACAAGTGAAATAAAAATGAACAAGTCGAGTGCATGATTATTTTATTTTTCAACTCGCCGTGGAATGCATTCATTACAAACGTGACAATGTTTCATATAATTCGAAACGCGCTAACTACTAGTACAATACACATTTATGTACACAACCTGACGCGCCACTACACAGTATTATATTTGAGTATATTCGTATATTCCGTGACTAACTTCACTACGGCCACTTTATCTAGTAGACGTTAGAATACATAGAACAAAAAAAAATATTACAACGGTTCTTTGAGCAATATTATAGGAATGTACAGAGTATGTCTTTTGTTTTTATACGTACGAGTGGTATAAAAAAAAATATTACGTGTATTTATATAGTTACACACATTGTAAGACCAGCCATGGTTAAAGTTCACTAAGGATAGATGGAAAACGAAGGCAATGCACAAGCCACACTTCTTTATGCACCCGAATTTAATAAATTTCAAATTGTCAAAACAACTCTTCAATCAAAATTCTACTAAATGAAATAAATTAAAATTCGATTACATATAAAAATATAGGTTTTTAACGTCTCTATTGGAATGTTACAACACACTGTTGGTATCCATTTACAATAACTAAAGCTAAACTATGGCTTACATTATACAAAATAATTTATTATTTACATTACAATTTGTACATAACCATTTTACCGGGTTTGTTGTATTGATAACATATTATTATGTACTACTTAATGTATGTATTTGGATAGACTCTTATTTAATCAATAAAAATTTACAATATCCCGATAGGCTTTTTATCTTTTTACTTATTTTTAAAATCACAATCCGATTTACTGGCCTTAAATTATTTACTAATGTTCTATCAGCAACAGCCACGCGCGTCCATTTATCAAAATTATTTTGTTTAATTATCAAAATTATTTATTTTGATTAGAATTATTTTGTTTAATTCCGCTACCGTTAGTATGTGTATTAGCAGTAGTAGTAGTTACAGTAATTATAGTGGCACGTGTACTAATGATAGTGGAATTAAACAAAATAATTCTAGTCAACTAACGAATGGAGCAAGACTTTTGTTTAACTTGTCAAATTTTATGACTTCAACTTCATTGCAACTGACCACATGTTGTCCGTTGTAACTTACTGTTGTAATTTAGCCAGAGTGTCGCATATCGATTGATCACCTAGTCGATGGTCGGACCAAGTAACCGCCGTTACGGGACTGTCAATTGCAGCTGGCCTGCGAGAGGCTGAAGATCGTGTGAAATGAAGTAATATCATAAGAAGACAACAGACACCTTTCAATGACACGAGAGAAAGAAAGTCGCAGGTCGGCAAAATAAAACCGACCTCTGTAGATTTTTTTTACTTCGACTACAGCGAAAGCCGAATTAGCGGTCACTCAATAAATCGTGATCCTCTAGGTATCTCAATAGCTGTACGTTAATTATACGCTCCGTCACCTTAGAGAGAAGGGAGGCGACCGCTATCGGCCTGTAATTTGAAGGGTCCAACTTATCACCCTTTTTAGGTACAGGATGTACAAGGGTGGTCTTCCATGTCGAAGGAAATTGCCCTGTGGATTACGAGATCGTGAAGAGACGCGTTAATGCAGGACATAGTTCCGGAGCACACTGCTTTAGGAGCACTGCTGGTATACCGTTTGGCCTACTCGACTTATAGACAACTAAGGATAATAACTCCCGTCAGACTTTATATTGTGTTATGGTAATTTCCGGCATAGAGTTTCTACATCACGGGATGGTAGGTGGTGCAGAATTACCTTCGTCTATAGTCGAGTTAGCGGCAAAGAGATTACCTAATAGATCGGCTTTCTCTTTAGCTCTGTAGGCCAAGATACCATTCGGTTTCCGAAGTGGCGGAAAAGACGACTGACAAAAGTTTCCTTGGGCGGCTTTGGTAAGCGACCAGAAAGCACGATTACCAGAAGGAAGGCTTGATAGTCGCCTACCAATTTCGCGTTAAAAGACGACTAAGGGGCGGCGAAAGATGGGCAGCAGCGTCCCTCTTAAAACATCTCTAAGCGACTGCGGTTGCCAATGTTCAGCGTGTTCAGCAGTGGACGATTAAGGGCTGTTATAATGATGATGAAAGGCTATTGGTGATATACCAATAGCAAACATGAATGAACAAAAAATTTTTTGATCAATTATGCTTGATTTCTATTGGTGAACAAAATTAGATAAAAATAGGGGCAGAGTTGATCTTCATCATCATATCAGCCTTTAATTGTCCACTGCTGCAGATAAGCCTCCCCTTAGGGGGTTTTACCAGTAGTTGCTATGCTTGGCAGGCAGATTGGCAAGCTAATCAGGTTTTGGTGATGATTTAAGATGGGCGCTGCTGTCCATCTCTCGTCCTCCTTTAGTCGTTTTTTACGACATTCACGAGGAATGAATGGGTGGCCTATTCTATGCCGGACCACATGGTCAGAAAGTAGAGTTGATCACTGGATAGAGACGAAAATATGAACTTTCTATGGCTGTTGTTGATAGTTCATTGTAACGGCACTAGAACACGGCGCGCGCGTTATCATACTTTGGTCGTAAGGTCCAGCGGATGGAGCTTAATCCTTTTTATTTGTGAGTAGGATACGTCTTCTTCTTCACTGACAGAGCCCGCGCCGCTGGCAGACTCGCCGTCTTCATTATCTGGTGTTATAATTTCACTGTCGTCTGACCTCCGTCGGGCAGAACTAGACCTACCATCCGATTTCACCGATAGATCCATTGGATTCTCTTGCGGAGATTCAGACGTTCTTCGCTCCGTTGAAGGAGTGGGAACGAATTCTGTTTCGGAGAACGTGTCTTCTTGTGGTGTAGGCTGCGCGGACCTTTGCTGCTTTAAAATTTCATCCAAGAAGAATCGCTTCGATGAATCGGCATTGTGGTCGTCGATTCGGACGTCGTTGTTATTTTCTGCAGCTTGTCGCAGCGCTGCATGGTCTAACAAATGCCTTGAGTATATGGGGTGGAAACCTGGTGGAAATAGCAAGGGATGGTTGGCAGCAAACGGGCTAAAGGGCGGTGGTGGTAAGAACGGCGAATGTGGAAAATGGGGCAAGGAAGCTATGTTGGCTAAGGGTAATGGCATGAAGGCGTCTCTGGACGGTGTCAGTGGTCTATCTGGTGGCCGCGACTGTGTGATCCTCGCTTTCTCATCCAGTTTTGGTGATGAGCCACTACGATGCGAGTCAGGAGAGCCTGAGCATGGTTTGTACTCATCGAGGCCTAGTAATGCGAGTTCCTCTTTCGTTCGCGGCCTCGCCAGGCCTGGGAACAGATGTGGTGGAAATGGTGGCGCTAAATGATGTGGGGGCGGCGGTACTCGCGGCGGAGACTGGGCTTGTGCAGCTTGCTGTTCTTGTAATAGGCAGTGGATTTTGAACCAATTGGACCTTCTACCGTATCTGGAGCCAGACTTGGACATACCCACCATAAGACACTTCCGGAGTCGACAAGCCTTGCACGCAGTTCTGTTTTTCTTGTTGATGACGCATTCCCCGTTGTTTTTGCATTCCGTGATGGAGTTCAAGTTGTTGTATGAGCGGCCGAAGAATGACTGGAAAGAGACAAAAAAACATATTATTATGAGTTTACATTACAGAGTATATATAAATTTGAAGATGTAGTTTCAATTTTTTTAAATTAATTATTTTGGGGGTAGTTACTTTTAAAATTTTGTCTAATGTTATTTATAGGATATAATGTTGTAAATAATGAAGGGTTCTAATACTATTCAAGAAAAAGTCTTGACTCATGAAATACCTACAAATTTAATACACATGAAATTAAATTCATATGAATTTAATCCAACACTTCATAGTTAGTTTTTTTAGCAAACAAGCTGTCGGCCCACCTGATGGAAAGTGGTAACCGTCGCCTATAGACGCCTATAATTTTTAATTGACGAAGCAAAAACAGTTTTAAATATAACGCAGAAGCATTCAAACGGTAGCACAAATCCATATTGGATACGCGAATTAATTGGCTGTACGTTAATTAAACATGTCATGTAAATATAGTTAACAGTGGCGCACGTGAGGCGGTGGATAAAGGCGCAGAAAGTGATCCGAGGCGACGGCTCGCATGAGCAATCCACCATAATTGGATACAGATGTATTGATCATTGTTAATTAACACGGTTTCTGATGTGACTCATTGTACTATTAATATTAAGTTTGAAACAGAAACCCTTTTTTTTTATACAACTTAGAATGGCAAACAAGCTGACGGCCCACCTGATGGAAAGTGGTAACCGTCGCCTATAGACATGAGCAGTACTATGGACATAACAGAGTATACTGTTTTGCCCATGATACCCCTCATGCGTTGCCACTCCTGAGGATTCAGGTGTTATTCCTCTGTGCCCAGTAAATTCACGCCATATCCCACCCTTCAAACAGAAACACAGCCATGCAAACACAACTGCTTCACGGTTGAAACACGAATGGGACAGAGGTATCCAAGCAATCGACTTTTGTACAAAGTCTCTCTCCTTTTCTTATGAAAAAGTATTAACAGGTAACAAAGATATATATATGTATCTAATATATAAAATTCTCGTGTCGCGGTGTTTGTTACCAAACTCCTTCGAAACGGTTTTACCGATTTTTATGAAATCTTGTGTGCATATCGGGTAGATCTGAGAATCGGCCAATATCTATTTTTCATACTCCTCAATGAAAAGAGTGACCTATCCCTAAATATATATATTTTTTAATTTTTTGTCAATTTTTTTTATTCCTATTTTGTTATGATTAAGCATTGAAAAATATATATAAATTCAAATTTTCACGCTTTTACAATCAACTGCTGTTTTTTAATCGCGATTTTTATATATATATATATATATATATATATATATATACAATCGATATATATATAATTGTAGTACGAGAAAATATATATATATATATATATATATATATATATATATATATATATATATATATATATATATATCACGTCTGTATTGTAAAATTTGTCTATTGTTATAAATCGAATGAATAATTAATGTATTAAATATAATAATTTGTAAGTAGCCAATAATGAATTGGCATGCTTTAGACCAGGGGTGGGCAAATATTTTGATAGTCTCTCGCCACATTGCAGATAAAAATTTTACCCGATAAAAAAAGTTTTTTTTTAAACTAATTTTAAGTTTAATTTTTGCTAATTAATGGATTTTAAAACCAACATTTTTGAATCAAAATATTTATTAAGCTTTGAAAAGAGCGGTTGTCCGGGAGAACATTTTGGCTCTCACCGGCCCTGATAATGTGTATAAGTATTGCTTAATATTGTATCTAAAAACTTTTATGCACCAATTTATGTCAGACAAAAACTAATATTTGTGTTTTTAATAATAATATATACAATGTTTCAGGGGCCAAACAAAATTCTACCGCTGACCGGATTCGGCCCGTGGGCCGCCATTTGCCCTGGTCTGCTTTAGACTATAAAGCGAACATTTGTACTTCACAATAAAACAATATGTGTAAAAACAATGTTCTGGCAAATAAATCTTACTATCTAAGTAAAGAATAATTACATTACATGAAGTTTTTCTCGTATATGGCCAAAATGCGAAGGACGTATAAAAACAAAACCGTACTTAAACGTGTGTAACAGACCGGAACCGAACCTGTGGCCTATATCGGCCGGAAGTGACGCTGTGCCCGTGTAAGACAGAGTTTCTTACGCTGTCGAAGTCACTTCCGGCCGATATAGGCCACAGGTTCGGTTCCGTCTGTTACACACGTTTAAGCTTTTGTTTTTATACGTCCTCACATTGCACTAAACTTATGTAATATAATAAAATTAAAATATGGATAGAGAGATGAGACAAACATTGTTTTTACAGATATTGATTTAAAAAAATGTTTGATTTATAGTCTAAAGCTCTACAGTACATCACATCACATTACACGAGACCTTTTTTTTAAAAAGGATCAGTGTTTTTTATACAACTTAGAATGGCAAACAAACTGATGGAAAGTGGTAACCGTCGCTTATATACATGAGCAGTACCGTGGACATAATAGAGTATACTGTTTCGCCCATGATACCTCCCATGCGTTGCCATTCCTGAGGACTCAGGTGTTATTCCTCTGTACCCTGTAAATTCATGCCATATCTCACCCTTCAAACCGAAAGACAGCCATGCAAACACAACTGCTTTACGTTTGAAACACAAATGGGACAGAGGTACCCAAGCAATCGACTTTAAAACCTCTAAAATTATCAGTGTTCCTCTACAATATTATGCATGTATTATACCTTCCTCTTGAATCATTCTATCTATTAAAAAAAAACGCATCAAAATCCGTTGCATAGTTTTAAAGATCTAAGCATACATAGAGACAGACAGACGGGAAGCGACTTTGTTTTATACTAAGTAGTGATAATTCAATAGACAGGCGCCAATTTCTAAGTATGGAGCGCTAGCGAGCGATAATTTTAACGACCGTTTATAATTTTTCAATTACATTGCGTACTGTGATTATTAATTTACTATTGTATTGTAATATTAAGAAGGTAATGGATTGCAAAGGGTTTTTTTTATAATAATTATATTATAATGTTAGGGATAATCACTCTACTGAAGTACTAAAGTCATGCGGTTGTGCATACTAAGTGTCAATATTAAGCCAATTAAGGTATATGTTAATTTTATGAGTTGTCTATGGTGTAAATGTGGATTCTAATATAGTAATCTCGCTTATTAATAAAGGTTGGCATATAATTAATATTTTTATTAAGTTGTCACGATTTACATACCAGTATAGACGTCTATTATGGTCTCTATTAAAACTAAAGAAAAAAAAGTGGGAATTTATTAATACTAAAGCAATTACCCGGTTGTTTGTTTACTGTTGTAAGAAATAAAGTCACAAATAAATACTATTTAATAGGTAAATTGTTAGTACATAACATTTATTATAAGTCAACGGTGGTATGGCTGCATCTTAACATGACTTGAACATAGCTGTTATGATTGGCAACTTGACTCGCTGTCTGAATTATAAACAGTCGCTGCAAAATGTCAAACAGAGCAATGACATCGTCATGTCATTGTAGAATTGTCATTCGAAATTTGAATTTGAATTTAGGCAATTTATCATTTTATTCGTCGAATTTAATATCTATCCAACCAAATGCCTACCAGAATTTATTTCAAATTTGAATTGCCATTTCGATTCTACGTTTTTGAATTTAGAATGACCGTTCGTGGCGCGTGTTACGTCGCCATATACATAACGAGGTTTGACAACACCTAAACACGTGTTAACTTGTGTCCAACCAAAATGATTGGCAACCGGCACACTGGCTGAATGATAAACGCAACGTGCAACGATCGCGTCATACAGTAAGAATTTAAACTGAAACAATACCATCTAAAAGCGATCCGCGCGTGATGCGAATTAATTGGTCGAGTTATACACAGTATTTTTGGACGGTGAATGTGGAAATACCAAGATTGACTCTTGTAGTAGTTTGTGTTTAATGTTATTGTATTATCTAATCTATTTTAAGAGCACGAGTAAGACTTGCGATCTATGATGGTTTTTTTTTGTATGAATTAACATAAAAAGTAGCATATGTGTTAAGATTTTTAAGTATTAAATTTCATTTAAATCCGTTCAGTGGCTCGAGTGTGATTAAGTCGCAAAAATACAGACATCTTAATGTCCTTTTACGTCGTCATTATCACAGTTCGCTAACATCTCGCATCACGAATCGCATCGCATCTCGAATCGCATCGCATCTCGAATCTCGAAGCCAATGCTTCGGATCTTATTGCAAAATTATGGATGTATGTACAATGTCGTTGACAATTGTTGTGTTATATAAAAAATAAAAAAATTATCTATGACATAAAAAAAATTATGTTGACAAAGTCACGGAAATCATCAAACGATGCGCGTTATCATTGTATAATTGATTTTCAATTTAATATCAAGCCAAGATCAAGCCAAAATGTAAAGATTTATCATTCGATTCTCATGTTAAGAGCGTTCATACCGAAGTAGTATAACTTCGGATTTATATGTCAATTTTTAAAAACAATTTACTTCATTTTAATATTTTTGATTAACTAATTTAAAAAGTGTTCTGACAGCGAATAGAAATATTAATTATGCAGTAAAATTTTTAATAATTAGTACTGTAATTTTGGATATTGATAAAAATATATGTAGAGTTCCGATGCAAAATGTGTATTGGCGAGCCACAGAATATGTTATAAAAAAAAAATCAGCTGTCGGCATACTACAGTAAATCTTCGGTATGAACGCTCCTAAATAAATTATAATAACTACACATAAGACACGACTGGCAAGTTGATCTCGATAATATTCAGTCGGCCAATTAACGCCAATCCGTCGGTCTGGAGACGTCTTAATTAATCGACATATGTCGTGTGAGCGCTGAGCGCCCACGTGTGCAACGCTAATTGTATACCTATAGTTGCCAATGAAATTGGCCAATAATCAGTTTAATTGGCAACTTTGACATTCTGTATGGATGTGACGGGCCGGGTTGCCAGATTTGATACAC